CCCTTAAGTGTCTTGATGCACCATTTCTCATTCTGACAAAGGGGTATTATAATGTCCACTTCATAGGGATTCTGTTAAAAGGATAAAAATGATAATATTCTCAGAAGAGCTCTGCATACAGAAAAGTACTGTACACATGCAAAGTCTCCACTCTGATGGTCAAAGGGGTAGGTATTCTGGAAGTATAGCATTGCCTGTTTTTATTCATCTTAATGAATGTAGTGGTAAAGGAAAAAAAAACAAAGGCTATGGGTATAAAAAAAAAAAAGAAATAATTAGTTTTCAAAACCTGGACAAGAACCAGAAATGGAAGCTGGGGTTTTGAATGTTGACGTTGGAGCAAGAGATTTGTCAGGAGACCAGGGCTTCAGTTCAGCAATTATCCACTCAGATTCATTATCCTGAGCCCTATTAAATGAAGTTAGAACCTTTAGGGATACATATGTGGGCATGTTATAATAATTCTCAAATGACACAGTGTGACCTTAAGGCATAATCATCAGACTCAAGAATAAAATTGAATTTGTGTTAAGTTAAAGAAGAGAACTCAGATAATAACTGAAAACAAAGACCCAGCGCACATCTAAATAAAGGATGCCAGTTCCCAAATATTGGGGTCAGTAGTTCTGAGATATTTACTTGTTTCATGCATTGGCACAAGTCATTTTTAAGTCTGTGTACAGTTCATATTCTTTTCCCTCTTCCGCATGTCTTACAAAGCTCTAGTATCTTGGTTATTTTATTCCTTGTAGTCTTGATGCCTTGGGAAGAGTAAATACACTTTTTCCCCCCTAATGGTAAAATAAACAACTCTATTAGCTCCTCATGGCAGTCCAAATGCCGACCTCTCTCTCTCTCTGGAGTGCTCATCTCCGTCCCCCCCACCCCAGGAAACTCCAGTTCATCTTTCCTCAGATGCGGCAGTGCCACGTCTTCTGTGAAGTCTTCTTAGGGCACCCATGTTGCTGCCCACCCCCCGCACTGGCAACCACCCGTCTGTTCTCTGTATCTGTGAATTTGCTTTTTTGTTTTTAAAAATATGGAGCGCTTTGTTCCTCTTTTAGTATATGTACTGTAAAGTGAGTACTGGTTTCTTTTAAATAATGAGGAAGTCACAGGGCAACATCCTGACTTTCAAAAGACCTCAGAATGAAACCACTTTGGAGCGGGGGGCGGGGGGGGGTGTTTCCCAAGTTAGACGCCCACAGAGTCCTAGCACTTGGTCTCTCTGTCCTACTTAGGAGAAGAGAAGGGTGACTGTGTCCCATTTGTTCACACCCAAGTTGTTCTGTTTCACCTGCTGATTAAGAAGCAGCTAAGAAACTTACCGTCGTGGTTGGAGAGCAGCACAGGCGGCTTCCAGTGTGAGAAGAAATGGCAGGAGTGTAGCTAGATGTCAACAGAAACGGGAGAAGCGATGAAGCGAAGTCAGTGCTTGATATTAACAAGTTTAATCCTCTTGTTTTCTAGACTCTGAGGCTGAGGATTAGAGGATGAAAATGGCCTTCCTAGTCGAAAGCCCTAGAAACCATGTCTCCTGGATCTCAGGATGTGCCTTCCAGACAAGCGATGGTGGGGCCTCTGATGTCTGATCCAGTCCCTGCTGCCTGTTGCAATAACCCGTAACGCCTCATCTTTTCCGAGTCTCAGAGACTCCTCGAATATCCTGGTTTCCTTTGTCGGCCCTGTCCCGTGTCCTCACTTGATTTGTTTTTTCTGGTGTCTTCTGACTCACCTTTTCTTCATTATCCCTTTTCCGCTCTGGATAATAGAACTCGTCTGCTTCTAAACACTGAAACACCATAAAAGGATGACAAGATAAACGAGAGTCTGGGATTTTCTTCTGGGTGTAATTGCAGAGTGTGCCTGTCCATTTAGCGCTCTAGAATTTTGGGGATATAGTGGAGCAACACCAGTTAACATCAACTCTGCAGCAAGTGAAAGTTACAAAATTCAACGTTCTCTATGAGTGGTTGAAGTTTGAAAATATCCTTGCTAAAATTGGGTTAAATATAGCAAAGTATAAGATCTTTCTTTAATATGCAAGAATAATAGCTCTCACTTCCTTGAAATGGTTCGCATTTGTATTTTTCATTATCTGTAGTTCCTAGGGAACATAGGATTTACAGATAGAATCAAATAAAACATTAAAAATAGTGTTAGCAATACATGCTGCAATAAGGTCTTTAATAAAAATGTACATTTATTAATAATATTTAAAAAATCTGAAAACCAGAAAGAAGTTATCTCCAAAGAAAGTCTCATTCAATTCCACAAATATTTATGAAGTACCATCACTGTGAAAGGAGTGGTGAAGAATATAAGTGTTAGAAATAAGGATAAAACACGATCCCTTTGGATGAAACAAGGCCTCTTGTACGATTTTTATGAGAGGCAAGACACCTCCCTGGATGTAATTTGTCTCTTAACAGTGAATCATCTGAGTCTAATAAGTGCTACCCACTGTACAAGTTACTGGGAATACAAAGATGAATGCCACATTCTCCATTCCCAGGGCACTCACAACGATTGAAATGTTTCTTTCCCCGTCCAGATGAACCTACAGATAACAACAACAACAAAAACTATAAACCTCTAGTGGGATCTCAAACATTAAGATTGTGATCTCAGTGCCAATCCCTTGTAAAATTCTGGAAATGCATGAATTGGCAGATAACTTGGGGATACTAAGAGCCCATAGGAAGTGACTTAAGATAAATGATGCCAAATGTACCTCACTTTAAAAATAAGGATTCTAGAGGGGGAGGGTATAGCTCAAATGTTAGAGTGCATGCTTAGCATGCACAGGGTCCTGGGTTCAATCCCCAGTACCTCCTGCAAAAATAAATAAATGAATAAGTAAAATCTAATTACCTTCTCCCAAGAAAAAAATTTTTAAAAATTGACTTAAAAAAATAAGGCTTCTAAATGGTTAAGTTTAGATAAGAGCTGTGGTGTATTTTGATCATATTAAAGGATTTGATATGCTTCCCATCATGTCCTTCTGGGAGAGATGGTTTATTATGCGTTGGATGGTGAACTGATTATTTTTGCTGTAAAACTTAACTGGTTGAAATAGGAATCATTTTATTTGCGCAGGTTTCTGTGCATTTTGGCCTAGCTCCGCTGGACAGTTCTTCTGCCAGTCGTCCCTGGGTCCCTGATGTGGCTGCAGTCATCTGGTGGACTGACTAGGGCTGGCTGAGGGAGCTCAGCTAGGTGTCCTGTTTGTGCTCCAGGGGTGCCATCCTAGCCCCGCCTTCCTCACATGTCAGTCTCAGGGCAGCGGGAGAGGACAGGCACCAAAAGGTAAGGGTAAGCCTCTGCCTGCAGCACATTTGCTAATGTCCCATTGGCCAAAGCAAGTCACATAGCCATGGGGGAAGGAGGCCACCTAAAGGCGTGGATACAGGACAGTAGGGTCCACTGGGGAGGTCATGATCGTGACAGTACCACAGATGGTATTAACTGAGCAGATTTCCATCTAGTTGGACAACAGCTCCCAAGGAGAAGGACGTCCATAGATGCTGCATTCATCACCCTGTCTGCTTCTGGATTTTTGTTAAGGACTAGGACAAAGGAAATGAAATGTAGTTGCAAATTTGACCATAACGTAAAACTAGGATGAATAATATAAATCCTGAAGATGACTTTGAGCCAAACCAATAAAAACACAATGTATCAGTGTTAAATGAAAAGTCCTACATGCATATTAGTAAAATAAATTATGGTCAGGTGGCATTGAGAGTCATATGGAAACTATCTGGAGGTTTTATCTGATACCAAATTTATGAGGCTAAAATGATTGAGATGAATTAATACAAATATAGTTCACAGGTAAAAGTAACAGTTCCCCAGAACAAAATATTCCCAGTGTATTGTGTTTATTTCTGGGTGAAAATTTGTAGAAGGTTATGGAGCTAGGGAAAATCCAGAAAGTGGCTGGTATGATGAGAAGGTTCAAATATAATCTCCTGGAGGAAAAGCTGATGGAGTACTTGCTCTAGAGAAAAGAAGACTGAAGACTTAACAGAAGGTACGTCATCTGTCTTAACACCTGGGAAGAGCTGTCATGTAGAAGAAAGCTCTAGAGGGTAGAAACAGGATCCATGGGAGGGTTTGTAGACTTCAGCTGAACTAAAGGTACAGCACTGTGACGACCGGAGTTGTCCAACACGGAATGGAATGTCCTGCAAGTTAATGACCTCTCTCCTTGGAAGTTCAAGCAGAGCCTGGAATATTCTCCGACATGCTGTGGAAGAGATTCTTGAGAAATCCAAATTCAGCGATGCCCAGTTTCCTCCCTTCCTAGATTTTCCCTTATTAAATTAAATAACAGTTTCCTCCATTACCACTATCCTTTTTATGCTTAAGTGTTATGAACAGAATCACGAGTTTTCATTTTGGCTAACAAAACAGGAAATGTAAAAAAAGAGAAAAATTCTCTTTCCTTTGGCTAACTGCAAAGCCTCTTTTTCCCTCCCCCATTTAGGGCCTATTTGGCCAATATTTAGGACATAATGTTATGACCTTGGAAGGAACATGTGGAATTTTCTAGTTCAGCTTTGCCACTTCAGAAATAAGGAAACTGAAGCCTAGAGAGACCAGACTTGCACGAGGTAACATGTTCTCCCCTGGCAGAGTGAGCCTAGAACAAGGAGAGGGGCATTGTGTGAAGACAGCTTAGTCTTTAGATTTTTAAGTACTTGTGTTCTCATCCTAGAAATGTCTTTTGTTAGCCTTTAGTTTTCATTTCTAAAAAAATGAAGACAGTGATACTTGTTATGGGCTAAGCGAGATAACCCACGCACAACACCTGGTACCTAGCGGATGTCCAATCAGTGTTGATGCTCCTTCACCCATGCCCAGGACGTCACGTTGCCCTGTGTGATGTAGACAGTAGCGTTCACTTCCTTGAATAATGAGCCAGGTCTCAGTTTGCTGAGGACATTCCTGGCTCATGCAGCTCATCCCGGCATAATTATTACTAGCGTCCATCCTCACATGTGTCCTGATTTAAATAAGTCATAGAACCATCCTACAAAGAACTTTCTCAGCGCCTTCCTGAGGGCATCTTTCAATTCCTTGTTCCTCATACTGTAGATCAAAGGGTTTAAAACGGGAGTGATAAAAGTGTAGACCACAGACACCACCTGGCCCATCTCAGGAGAGTAGCTGGAGCTAGGGGACAAGTATATAAAACTGGTGCAGCCATACTGCAGGAGGACCACGAAGATGTGAGAGGAGCAGGTGGAGAGGGCTCGGTGGCGCCCTCCTGCTGACCGGATCTGTAAAACAGCCGCCATGATGAAGACGTAGGAGACGGAGATCAGTGAGAGGGGGAGGCTTAGGACGGTGAAGCTGATGATACACAGGGCGGTCTGGTGAACGCGCGTGTCTGCACAAGCCAGGCGCATGACTGCAGGCATGTCACAGTAGAAGTGGTAGATTTCGTTGTTGTTGCAGAACGGGAGACGGAAGATTAAAACAGTCAGCGGTAGCGACAGCAGGAACCCCAGCACCAGGGACCCCACCACCAGCCCCACACACAAGGGCCAGCTCATGATGAGGGTGTATCGTAGTGGGTAACAGATTGCTACAAACCGGTCGTAAGCCATGACTGCGAGCAGGACACAATCAGCCCCGCCCAAGAAGACAAAGAAAAACATTTGGGTACCACATCCGGTGATGGAAACAGGAGTTTTGCCCATTGAAAGGAGGTTTGCCAAGGCCAACGGGGCGATGGAAGAGGTATAGGAGATTTCCAGAAATGCCAAGTTAGCCAGGAAGAAGTACATGGGGGTGCGGAGGGAGTGGTTGATCTGGACAGTCAGTGCAATGATGGCGTTTCCACTGATGCTGGCCAGGTACATCGCCAGGAAGGCCACAAAAATCACCACCTGCACCTTAGGGTCCGCTGAGAAGGGACGAAAAAAGAACTGTATCCTTGCAGTTTTATTTGTTTCTTCCATGGGCACTGCATTGAACCTATTTAAAGGAAAGATGACACACGTCTCTCTAGATATCTCTCATTTAATAGGATGCTTTCTCAAATCCTCCATTCAGTGTTGAGCACTTTCTAAAGTCAGCAGTTATGTGCACACTCTCATTTTAGAGAAGATCATGTGATATTACAATTTATACATTTGCCACCTCCTCCCTCACCTTTCCTCCTTTACCCTCAAGTACTGAAGACTCAGAAATCCTCAAGGGTGGGAATTCTGATCATCTTTCCTTTAGTTCCAGAGCCTAGCCCAATGCCTGGTATGGAATGGTTTCCAAGAAGTATGTGCTGAATGAATTAATGAATAAAGTCAATTTAAAGTTACAAAATGGATAAAGTAAGGTATCAATTCATTATATGAAGCTTGAAATTAAAAAATTTAGGAATGTCATAAGTATACGTCATAATTTAGAGAAAATTGAGCTGGTGGTACATCGTGTACTGCCTTGCAAACTGCAATTTAGCTCAAAACCTAGACACTTTATTGATTCATTCTGCTGCTTCGGCTTTATCCAATTTTTCCCTACATACTGATAGCTTGTCCTTCAAAACTTTGTTCTATCTGTTGCTTTGGTCCACTGTTTTCTTCCATTTGGATTCTTATGATCTCCTGTCTAATCAAATCTCCTATTTCCTTTCTTTTCCTTCTGTAATTCATCCTGCTCTCCATTATCATATTATTTATCTGCTTAACATTTTTTCAGTGCCTTTCTATTTATCAAATGACAGCTTTCACACTCCTCTACTGATTATTTCAGTCTTTCTTGGGTCTGATTCTTTCAGGCTAATTGCACTGTGGCCTTCAGTTACCCTGTTGTGTACCACATGGGCTGCTCACTGGCCTCTTATCCATCTTCTCTGTCCTGTTTCATATAATTCTGTTCTCTTTCCAGCTAGAAATCTTGTCTTCTCTCTTGTGCCTAATTCAGATTCTGCCCACTTTAAAAATTCTAGGTTATGTTCTTTTGCAAAATCTTTCTAGACCATCCCCATCTAAGGTCATTCCAGTCTAAATCTCTCTCTTCTTTCTCTGAAATTCTGTGTTGCTCACAACATTATGATTTTAGAGCTAATACACTGTCTTTACTGGATCAGTGTGTTCTGTCCCAAATCACAGTCTAGGTTCCTGGAGGACAGGGTCTCTGTCTCATGACAAATTATCATTTATTCCGTTTTAAGTGCTGGACATCCTGAAAGTGCTTGGTATGTGTTAGCTCAATTCATCCATAAAATCGCTTTAGTAGGCATGTACTGTTACCATACTCATTTTATAGATGAAGACATATAGGATTAAAAAATTAAAAAGTGTTCTGAAGTCACCTAAGTTGAAAGTGGGAGAGCCAGGATTTGAACAGAGTCTATTTGACTACAGAACTCTTGGGCTTAATCTTCGTTTATACTAGGCTGCCTCTCATTATACTTTATGTCTCCTAAGTGGCTTTGTTACTTAATTGCTTATCGTTCAGCCACAGGTAGAACCCTAGATGGTTTATTGGGAAAAGTGCACCTAAGATCTGAGACCAAAAATGTTGGATTACAGTATTTCCGGACTGCTGAAGCATAATTATAGTCCAGACTGTGGTTCATCTAGTAAGTGTCGCCCTTGCCAATTCAACAACAACAAAATTTCCCTTCCTTCTCTTATAAGGAACAGAGGGAAACCGTTTGGTTAAAAATTAGTTTTGGGTGAGGATGGATGGGGAGTGGTTTAATTTATCCTTCATGAAAGAGACTATAGGAACAAAGAAAAGGCAGAATCCTCTGTGACCCAGGACCTGAGGTCCTGAGTGAGCTCAAAGTGTTTTCATAGGTGCCTGCAGTTCTAATCTGTTTCCTGATGGCTTCGAGTCCAGCCCCTAAACCAAGAGGGTTGCTTTGGGTTGAACAAAGCCTATGCAGTGATACAAATGAGTTACTCAATTCATAAGTACACTAGAGATAAAAGGTCCCAG